CTAAAGTACACGTATAAACCAATTGTTATATACAATTTATTATACAAGGCTATTCAATACACTCTTCGTCATTATCGCTAAAGTCCCAATCGCTGTCGTCTGGTATTATAGTCAATATAATAGGTTCTAACAAACTGTCTCTTAAAATTTCTTTATCGTAGTTGTTTTCTTGTATTGATTCGGCATGTTTCACACATTTTTCCCAATCATGTTGGGTAATTGAATCTAACGCTTCGTGTGTTAGCTTTTCTATGCCAACCATTTTGAATGTCTTATTTTTGGTTGCCAACTTATTTTTTACTTGAGCCCATATCAGTTCTATGGGATTGTATTAGCAGTGATATGGTGGTAGTCGAATCTCTTCATGACCCATTTCCAATGCCAATTCGTCTAATTCATATTTTTTTTCGATAGGAATTAATAATTTGACCCTTTGTTTAAGTTCCGCTAACGTCTCTAGTGTAGAAAATGTAATATTTTTTTGGTCAGCCAATCCTGAACATCTGATTTTCTAGCATTACATTTTGGAAAATTATCAACTAGTGTCGAATGCATCATATTATCCATCACAATGATAGACGGTCCTTCAAGGTTATTTAAAATTGTGACGAATCAAGATTTGAATACATCCGAGTTCATTTGGTTGTGGTGATCTGTGGAGTTACCGGTATTGCTATGGAAAACCATATTTAGCACATCCTGCATGAACAACAATAAGTCACTCTCCTTTGCCTGTGGGTATTTTAAGACCTATTGAATTTGTTTCATTTTKCCATGCAATGGTCCGTGAGTGGTTTTGATTGACCCATGTTTCGTCCAGGTATACAATAGGTCGGGTATCATTGTTTACAAGAGAAACTATATCATTGCGCTCCATTAAAAACTTACGGCCATCACTGCATTTTTTATATGAACATTTTAGATTTTTAGAAGTATTTGCATTTATCTAAGACTTCCTGTATAATTGTTTTTCTTTTTGACAGAATTAAGTATAAGTTGTGCAGTGGGGTACTCACCCTTGTCATACAATTCGTGTACAGTTCTCCTTACTATATCACCATCAAAATCATCCACTTCCGATACATATTTTGCTCGCTTGTAAGATTTACGCGGTGACGCAAAGGAAGGACCAGGCGCTTCTTCAGTTTCTTCAGTTTTATGAGCTTCTGAACAAATACGATGATTTGTCCGCTTTGAAATTCCGCAAGCGTCAGCAGTCACGTCTTGAGATTTTTTAAAAAAAAATTAGAGTCTAAATCTTCTTTTTCCGATAACTTTTTTAAAAACGAATAAACACTATATATAATTTTTTATTTTGGCTATGCACATCACTGTCTTTAAAAGACATGTTAATGTACGCAAATAACAAAAAAAAAAAAAATAAATAAATAACTTATATAAAACAACTAGGTTTATAAATTAACGTTGAAAAACAAACGTGTACACACTGGAAACACAGTATACACAATAAAGAATACAGCGGAATAATTGCATAAAATGTACATAACTATACTTACCTCCTCCCCCCCCTCTTGCTCTATACAAAATTATATGAACAGTCGAATGTGTAGAATGCAAACACGAAAAAAAAGGAAACAAAAATTTGGTATGTAATGCCTGGGTAGTATTCGTATTGTTTACGTTACAGCGCTGTTTGGCGCAACAGGTGGTTGCAGTAAAATAAGAACCACTGTCTACTGGCTGGATGAGGTTCGGGGTACGACGGCGGCCACCCGCCAGTTTTTGTGTCGCATACTATAGCAGCTTGTTGGCGTTTTATTGAATTGCTCGTCGGCATTTGATCATTTCGGTTGACTTCTCTTCTTCTGGTCTCCGAGCGTTGTTTGGTTAAAACTGGATCAAACATGTGTTGAGAAGAATATTGAATTAGATGTGTCTGCACTCAATGGATGTACTGGTATACCAGTTGGGTGATAGAAACCGGTGCTGATGGTTCAAAACCTCCATAGTACGATGAGGGATCATGGCACCGTTACTTGGTTGTTGTGACCTGCTCAGTGCGCTTTTCGTTCATCAATCCGTTGAAATTTAGATGTCAAAAACCCGCTCTTTTGGTCAAGTGTTTCTGACCTTACACAGAAAATATCGATAATATATGACTTATTCACCGAGGTTCACAAATTAATAGGTATATTAATGATTATAAATTAGGCACCTAGGTATAAATGGTATAATATTATCGATCACTCATCAATATTGAGTTTCCGTCAGCTATTATTTGTTTATTATTAATATGTATTCAATTTTTAAAATGTTTCACATACTGTAAGCCTATATATATAAGCTTTAAGATATAACGTAAAATTTTTTAAAAATAAATTTTAAGTAAAACAAGTTTAATGTAATAAGTGTGTTTTACAGGTCCAGCATTTTGGGGTCTGATAAACCCCGAGTGGAGCCTTTGCAACAAGGGTCGACGACAATCACCCGTGAACTTAGACCCGGAAAAATTGCTCTACGATCCAAACTTGACCGAACTGCACGTGGACAGGCAACGGGTGAGTTTCGGGTGGATATTTACCTATAAACAGTTATAGTTTAGCATTAAAACACGTCAAAATTATGACCGATGTTAAACAATGAGAAAAAAAACAGTTGATTATTATAAAAACCATTTTGACTTAAGAATAAAATATTTTATAAGCTAAGAAGAATACAAATATATTTATCGTATTTTTAATTTACATATTGTAAATATTTTCTATTAAAATAAATATAAAAATAAATGAAAATATATAATAATTTATTACATGAGTAAATTTGGTCGTTTCGTTAAAATATTTTGTACAGAGAAAAAAAATCTTAAAAATATAAAATGTTACATAATCATCTATAGATAAGTGCAATTTAAAATGTTTACATTTGGTGATAATCTTTGAATTTGCCAACATTTAATATTTAGTTTTTCTAAATTTTGCTTTYGTATTACGATACGTATAATCGTATAATATTTAGCCCTAAATTGTTATAATATTTGATAGTAGTTATTGATCCTAAACAATTTTTCTGTTGGTCCATGGACTCAATATAGGTACAATAAATGAATAAAATGGATACATGTATGATTTCCTATTTTTTTCTTCATCATATATGCTTTGACGTGCCTATGTGTACACTAATAGTATTGGTTTAAATATTATTACACCACTGACTGATGATTTTGTTGAATAGAACAATTTATAATTTAAACATACAGTTCAATAATCATATAATGAACCCCACATGAACCCTACAACCGCGTTACTGTTCTAGATTCATCAATTTTACACGTCATGATATACGATTCATGTATAAGTTTCGACAAAAGCTTTTTGGGCTTATATTTTGCAACTATCATACAATTACAGTTTATAAATCATTGTAAAAAAAAGTCCATTTAGTTTAAGTGACATATTTTTAAATTTTCTGTATGAGTGGAAAAGTTTTCAAGAGTTCTATATTATATATTATATATATATATATATATATATATATATATACAAATAGTCAATTATTAATTTGTTGATATAATCATAAAAATAATAAACGGTCTTTAGCAAAAATAAAAAATATACTTTAGTTAATTATACACAATACGAGATAATCAATCATTTAAAACACTATATTTCATAATTTGTTTGATACGGTACATTTCCAAATGATTAAGCGTTGGACCAGCTGCACGTAGTTATAATTTTCAATGCTATAAAGTATATATATATTTGGTATTTTAGTAATTTCGGAATTAAAAAAAAAAAGTAAAAAGTAGGGAATAGTTTTTTTACAAGCAAAATATGATATATTGACCATACTCTGGTTTTAATCGAAATTTGATACAATATTTGAAACGAGCTCCAGGCCTACGATATGAAATCATTTACTTATATTCTGTATGACAGATATAACGTGTGTTGTTCGATACGCAAAATAATCATAATGTTTGTCATCAACCAACAGGTCACAATTATATTATTGTTGTCATATTGTTACTTAAAATAGGTGGTATTATTAATATTGACAAAATGTTATCAACAATTGACTATTTTTTTTAGTGATTTTGTAATCACGAATACTTTTAAAACAACATTTGTGATTTTTGTGAGTTTTTTATAATTATATATATATACTATAAATAGTTTTCTTCCTGATATCGTTTTGAACATTTCTATTAATAATTAACAAATTGAATCAAGTCGTGTATCTGTACATCAATTTACTGGTGTGCTTTATATAAACAAACGTTGGTTTTATTAGATACATAGATTGCATATCTATATATAATATTATCCCATCTTTGGTGTTGGTACCTACTAAAGCTATTATTCGTTATATTATAATCTTATATCGTTACAGGTGGATGGTATGATATGCAATACCGGCCACAGCGTTATGTTCTATCTGGAGAATGGCACCAAGAATCACATAAACATCACCGGTGGACCGCTATCGTACAAATATCAAGTGTACGAGATACACATACACTACGGCCAGCAAGATGAAATGGGCTCCGAACATTCAATTAACGGATATTCGTTTCCAGCAGAGGTATTTATATTCAAATAACGTGCATAAAAAATATACCTAAGTTGAGATTTAAATAAAGAAAATGATAATTTAAATGTTCATTCGTGAGAAAAATAAATATATCTATTAATATATTATATAGTATAATAACATACTAGCCAAGAGTGACTGATGTGTGGCTATTAAATCATATCTAATATTATATATTACTCTAATTATATCAACTTATTAGCTAATTTGTAAAGATTATTGAAATTAAAAATATGTCAAATAAAAAAAAAAGGTAATAATATTCGTATAAATATAGTCAATTTTTACACTTTTTTCTACTTTTATGTTTTAAACATGATTATTGATTATCTATTGGTGTTTACACTAATAACAAATTATATACTACAAAAAACTATGTAGAACACACGTAGGTAATAAATATATTTATAGAATAACCAATAGAACACGAAATCGAATAAAAAGGCTATAGTCTATATAACCATAAAAATTAACAACTCCAACCTCCATCTCCAAAAAAAGTTATCTGAAAATAAAATTAAAATTTTATCAAAAAATAAGTAAGTAAAAAAAGAGTAAATCAAAGATTTATATTGAATAAAAAAAGCATTTAAAAATTTAACTAGATCTACAATAATATACATTACGGTCAGCAGGAAGAAATTGGCTTCCAGCACTCGATCAACGGTTATTCGTTTCCGGCAGAGGTACTAAGCACTATCGTACTAATCAATACTAAATTTACGATCACGTTTTCACGTTTATATATTATATACCACGATAGTAATCACACCATTTTTGGCCAGTGAAACTCATCCATTCAAAAAAATCTATACTTATAATATAGCATCTGTTGAAACTCATCTCACGGTCTCTGACCATTGATTTGGGTCTCTAATAATGTTATCGAATAACATACACAAAACTGTTTATGTTCACATAGTTTTTATAGATCCACAGTAAATGATTCGTGAATCTATATTAACCTGCCGAAGATTTTTCTTAATTTTTTAACTGTAAATATTACCATTATTTGTTAAGTTAATTTTTTTTTATTTGTGTACACTTTTTTATGAGAGAAAATATGCTCGAATCGTCAATTTATAAGATTGGTTCTTTTTTGATACTTCTTAAAAAATTCATCTTTTTCGATGTCAAAGATGGCGAGGCCACCTTTATTATTTTTATAGGAAGATTTGGTGATTTATAGCGAAGTGTTTATTTAGTTTCTCTCTAGAGGATAGAAGTTACTATCTTTGGGTGTAAACTTCATTAAGTGATTTCACCGAACATTTGGCCTAAACTTAAGAAACTTTTTCTCAGTAAATTCGCCAATTTATTGTAAATTAGTTTATGGGAAGAGAGTTCTTGCTCTCTGTTTTTCGACTATTTTATTTCGTATGCGCATAGGTAGTGGATCTGATGAGGGAGGATCTGGATAGTATTTGTAGCTGACCATGCTACAGTTTGTATGACATTGGTAAAATTGTGGATCACTGAATCTATTTCATCGGGTGATTTTAGTTTAATGTTTAAATTTATTTCTTTATTGACTAGTTTTATAAACATAGAATGATCTGTGAATTTATTAAATAGGTTGTTAGATTCTTTATACGTAGGGGAAGTATTGAGAGTTAGGAGCACTGATGAGTGATCACAATTTAAATCAAGTAAATTTTTAGTAATGCTAAGTAAGTAATTCGGTATTTTAGTCATATAAATATCTAGAATATCACAAATTTTCCTAGAAGACGAAGGCCAATACGTTGGATCGAGCGGGGCTAAAACTTTAAATGTTTTTAAATTGGTAAAATTATACAAGGTGACACCACGTGGGTTAATCTCTCGACCCCCATGATTAGTGTTTAGTATTGAATTAATAATCCCCCATACTAAAGTAGTTATATTAAATGTGTTAAGTAGTTAGAGAATTGAATATCAGTAATAATAAGTTTAGAGGGAGTGTATATGGCAGCAATAGTAAGTGATGTATTATTTATTTTTAATTTGATAGTACATGATTGTAGGTAAGGGAAAACCTAGGCTATAAGAAAAAGAGGTTTAACTATTATAGTTTCATCATCAGTATTAGTTTTATGAGAGTTGGGTATGTTTTCAGTAGTAAAAGTGGTTTCAAACAGATCATCTTGGGAAAATATTTCGAATGTGTTACAAGTAACAACATTTTTTTTTATGGTTTGTTTGAATAGTATTCATATTTATATTCGGAGTTCAGAGTTGATGGTTCGGATGCTGAGTTTGAGTTGGCTGGTCATTATTATTCTTAGTGTTTGAATCGGGTTTATTTTAATGGTCTTTTTAGGCAAGGATCCCTAATCTAACATTAAAATAAAATTATAAATTAAAAAATATATATTGATAATAGATCAACATATTGGATAAAAAATTTTAATTGATAAAAATCTAAATTCAAAATTTCCTTTTTTAAATATACTATACGAAATTGATAAAAAACTTTAATAGAATAAAAAAATTAAATTGATAAAATTAAATCCTTAAAGCCTTAAAGAAACAAATAAATCTTATGTGAGTAAAAAATCTAAACAATAAAAATCAAAATTTAAAAAAATCAAATTGATAAGAAAAAACATATTGAATATAAAATTCAAAATGAAAAACTATATCATCTATATCAACTATAAAAAAAATCTTAAATTAAATAAATTTAAAATTAAAGTTTTATTAATAAAATCAGATTTTAATAAGTGTCTAAAATGAAAAATCTAATATTGATGAAAATCTAAAATGATAAAACTAGTCTTTTTTATCCAACATGGTTTTATCAAATTAGATTTTTCTTCATATTAAATTTACAATTAGATATTTATAGTAAAATTATAATTTGGATTTTAGATTTTTTAGTTAGGTATTTTATTCAATATGCGTAAATTTAGATTTTTCTTCATAAAAAAATTTATAGTTTAAGATATTTTTTGTTAAAATTAGAATCTTTTATAAATTTATTTATTTTTTATCATTCAGATTTTTTTATTAACGTGAGATTTATTTATTTTTTCAAGGCTTTAATTTTATTAATTTAGTTTTTTTATTCAACGTGTTATATTATTATCAATATAAATTATTGATTCTTAATTCAACATGACTTTTTCCTATCAATTTAGATTTTTTTTTATTATATTTTAAATTTTTACTTACATATTAAAAATAATGTTTTTGTTTTAGATTTTTTTTAAATATTGAATTCCATCAATTCAGATTTTTTATCCAATATGTTTTCGTGTTATCCGTATATTTTTAATTTTGATTATTAATTTATTAATTTTAGATTCTCAATTCAACATGATATTTTCTTATCAATTAAGTTTCTTTCATATTATATTTTTACTTTTTAGACATTCACAGGAATTTAATGGTGCAAAAAAAATTTCAAAAAGTGTAATTTAGATGAGGCTGTGGTAACTACTAACTACACAGGGAAAAATGAATTTTCCGGGAAATCTATCAGAGCAGGAATTATAAGAAGCTGATCAGGAATTCATAGGGATTGAGTACTAATTATTGGTGCGAAAAAAATTGTAAAATTCAGATTATAGTGGGGGGCTGGGGTAATAAGCGTGCACAATCGTGTGATTTTTAGTTCTAACCAAAAGCGTCGTGTATAAATATTTAATATATATCGTGGTTCTCAAACTTTTTTTTTAATTTCATAGCACGCGAAATCCGCTGGTGAAAATTTGAGGTGCAGAGAAAAGTTTTTTGATTTATTTAATACTTTTTGATAGGACACTAAAATGGGTGTGGTATAATAAAGTTTAACGATTCGAAGAACSGTGGTATTGGAATCAATTTTTTCTGTCATTTATATAATATTATTATCATAGCTATAGCCATTTTTAAGCAACATAGTAATATTATACATTGTATTTTAATAATACTATCGATATTGCAATTTCGTATCAATATTATTTAATTTTTTTGTTTTGCCTACAGCTCCAGATATTCAGTTTCAACTCGCAGCTGTTCGCCAACTACTCTGACGCGGTTCAGAGATCGCACGGCATCGTTGTACTTTCGTTATTGTTACAGGTATGCAATGACTATATATTTAATATTGTAATCTTATATTATGACCCAGTGTACAATTTTAAGTAATGTTGAACTATATTTTTTTATTTTTTACAATATCAATACAATTTATGACTTTTTAATTTCCAGCCCTAATATTTATTATAAAACATTTTTGGTTTCGAATTAGCCTAAAAATATTGACTTAATAATTTTATCTAAATTAAAAAGAGTTCGTTTGATTGAAATTAAAAATGTTTTTAACATTTTTGTTTGTAATGGTGTATACATTAACCATTCTGTGTACACGGATTTAAATAAAAAATAATCTAATAGTGTACAAATACGTTGTAATAATGTTATATGATATTTCTCTTTTTGTTTCTTGATAAGGTATTGTGTTTGGCAAACGATCGAGTGATTAACTTGACTTAACTACCAACTTAACTTGAGTTAATTATGTTTACTGGTTTGCCCACCTTTGCACATTGTGTAATCGAATTGGTCACGATAAAGCCAAACTAAATCAAGTACTATAGTAGCATATTATTACAAATTATTGTAATATTCATCACTGGCATCCGCGACGGCGGAATAATGTTTCGCAGTTTGTCATGTTGTAACAATAAACGGTGAAAAATCGCTCAGCCCGTCCGATCGGATGCTTTTACTATTATAATCATAATTTTATTAAATCGTAAAATTCTGAGTGTAAAGCTGAACTTTGTAATATTGTCGTATCGAGGGGGAAAAGTAATCATTAATTCATAAACACAAATAGATGTACTCGCTGGAAGGCTGTTTATTGTTGGAAAAAAATAATAATTGATTACACCGCCATGGAAATTCAAAAAACATATTTCATTTTAAAAGTATTAAGGTATTCAAATTATATATTTCTAAAAATTAAACTGTAGAAAAATATATATTTGGAATCGTTTATAGAGTTATTTGGAAATGTAGAATTTTTTTGGAATAATATTTTTAACTCGGAAACTTATTTTTTCAAAAAATTTCGTAAACCAATAATTTACCGACGAAATATGTTAAACGATTTCTGATCAAATGTGATTCCAAAAAAATATTGAACACTATAATATTATAAAATGTCTAAATATTACAGTTCCTTCAACCAATTAATAAAATGTTACTATCTATATTTTTCTACAAAAATATTTTGATCCAAATAGATATTTTTACAAAAATTTTTTTAACGTGCCACATTTCGGAGATACGTGCATTTGAGATCTGGAGATTGAATATATCTGGGTGGACAGGTATATTTTGTTGGAAAATTAAATTTGATCAAATTGATCTGAATGTGAAAATTTGAATAAAACATTTGCAACTGCATTGGAATTATATTGTCTAAGAAACATTATTCGTATTTACTCAAAAAAACAACTGATCTAAAATTTTTTAAAAATTATTCGTTTGAATCCATATTTTTGTAGAAAAATATCCATTAGAAATATCTCACATTATCGGAAATATATTTTTATTAAATCATAATACTTTGTTAATATAATATTTTGTCAGCAACAAATTCTTTTCAAAAAAGTAATCTTATGGAAAATATTCTAAACGATATTCATTAAAAGACATGCTTTTCTTACTTTTTTTAACGCAGTAGTTTCAAGTAAATACACTTTTTATAAGTTTTAGAGTGATCACTTTGACCATATTATAATATAATTTCAAATCCACTTAATAAGTGCTGATAGTAGATATTTAATTCAAAATAAATGTTTTCCAAATGTTCTCATTCTGATCACAATAACTATTTTTCTATCATAGATCATTAGTATGAATTTATAATACCATTTTGTCAATAAGAAATGTATTGTCTGGGTCAGAGCGATCAAAACGTCAATTTGTGTGGGCGGTTGGAATACTCATAGTCAGATAACGTGAGATTTCAATAAAATGTATTACCGTGGCAGTAGATTTTGATTACGATAATCATTACAATACTTTTTTATATAAATTTAATAAATTTAAATAATTTTTCAACACAGTATTAGCTGTCATACACAGTGTGATTATCGGGGTGGAAAATGTAAATTATCTATGTAGGAACGATTAATATAATGTATAGTGATGCACTACTACTGTTTAATACTGATTAAAAATACTAATTTACTAGGGTTAATATATTATTGAAATAAACTGAAATAAATAGTTTTTTTTTTTTTAAATATTATACTGATTTGTTAGTGATTTATTAAAATGTTATCATTTATTTGACAATATTTGTGAGTGAACGTTTCCTGCCTTATATCTTAACATTTTTACAATGTTTCCTCAGTTATATGCATTATTCGTACAATAAAATATGGKTTAAACGTATTTTGTTCAAATTATTAATCATTCTATAATGACATTTTACAGGCACAAATTCGTTTGATATTAATTCAGTTAATAATTAGCTTATTGTTTTTGATTTTGTGTAAATCCTGTTTATCTAAACTAAATCATATAGGCAAATATCCCATTATAATATTGACGAGTTTTATGATTAACATATTTCTACCCTATGACAAGAATTGAAATTGATTTCAAAACCATTTAACCATTTTTAGTTCGAAAATAAATCCTAGGGGTTTCGTTTTATTTATTTTATTGATAAGTACATTTTTAATTAGCTTCCCATCTGCCCTCCATGCATATCCGAACCATTCTCGTCGTTTTTTCCTGATAAAATAGAGTATGTCTGGCTTATTATAAAGAGACTTTATATTTTCGTTGCTTCTTCTTTCGTATGTCTGTGTTTCTGGGTTGAAGATTGGTCCATAAATGGTTCGTAACACTTTCCTTTCGAACGTGATAATAGTCTTCTGCTATCACCTTTAGTCAACGACCAGGTTTCACAGGCGTATGTTATTATCACAGGTCGTAGGTAGCTATGATATAGTAGTATCTTTGATCCTCTCGATAACAGCTTAGACCTCAGGAGTTTGATAATACTGAAATAACATCTATATCCATTAGTGATCCGTTCATTTATTTCTATATGCATATCATGTTTACGTCTAAGTACTTAAAATTATCAACTTTTTCAAATTTATAATTATCCACTACTATGGAATCTATATTTGGCGGTCTTCTCGATACGACCATGTACTTAGTTTTCCTCTCGTTTACATGTTATCCTATTCCTTTACTTGCATTTATGAGTTTAGATGTTGAGTTGATGATTTCCTCTTTGGTTTCACCCATCAGCTCAATGTCATCTGCGAAGGCTAACATAACTTGTTCATTGCTTATCTCCATCCTTCTGTCATAGTTTGTGTCTCTAATTATACTATACCATTTGAAAGTGGTGTAAAATCTTTAGGTTTTTCATGGTAGTTATACAACAATAATTACTCAGAGCTTATCTCTGCCCCAGTCCCCTTGATATTCGAAATTATGAGTTCGAGTATCATTATTAATGCTCTGTTTTGGAATATTATGCACCACATAAACTATAAATAATCTTTTAAATCGTAGGTATTTAAAGTAAATTCTTGTTTCTATGGGCATATATTTAAGTAAAAAAAATAGTTCACTTTCACATTCTTCTTCAGTTCTTGCATCCCCCTTTCTTGCAAGTATAGGTAACATAACAGTATTACTTCTTCAGTGTATATACCTAGGTACTGTCTTGCATACTTTCACTATCCTTTTTGTTAATATKTTTTACTTCATCTTAGTAAATTTATCATTTATATTTTTCAAATGCAACCGTTGTGAGTGATGAAACCCGAAGCGCAAATCAACCTTTTTTTCGATAACTCAAAGGCGCAAAATGAATTTGCGTTTTTGTACCTTGGTAGTGAGATAAAAGCGCAAAAATAAATTGGATTAACAGATATACAATATTTTACTTACCTAACGCGTGACGCTTTACGTTCTTAGGCGTCACATCAATTTACGTTCAAGTAGTGTATTGGCTGTTGCTATCCAAAACAACTGATATTTACGAAAAAATGTAGCATTCAATAAAAGCATTATTTAACAAAGAATTAAAACCACAAAATATAGTTTTGGAAATTATCTGCTCATAATAACGTTTTGTGTATATTTCCAAATGCACAAATTAAATGTTGCCGGTTTCATCTCGGGCAATCCTGATATAGACAAATTTTAAAATTGAATAGGACCAATGTAAATCAGAAATTTTTGTTGTTGCTATCCATAATCCGTAATTATTATCACATATTATAGATAAAATAATTATATTACGTCGTCATTCTCGATTCAGTTTTGAATTAATTGGATTATGATAGGTAGTAAGTATAATTATTTTTTATTATATGATTAAATGTCATACTATCTACGTATATATTACGATATTCTATCGATCATCACTGTCCAGAGCGTATAATTTCTCCTCGTCGCTATATCGGCCGGCCAGTTAGGCATACGATTCACATCCTCGATATATTATAAATATAAATATATGTTTATAAGTTCAGGACATAAAGTTATATTATACAGGTGTATATTATTATACCTATTATAGTTATTATAGTAGGCGTTACAACATAAATTGTGGATTTTTGATTTCAAACCTGCGGGCGACGGGATACATCGGACGACGACGATGACGACCCGTGAGTAGGGCGATGTTTGGGGCAAAAAATAGAAGGGATTGAGCTCCGGGTGGTGAATTTCCGGGGACGGGACATGTTAAAACCGCTGAACCGGAAATAACGCTTTAAATCGTTGGGCTCTTCTGCGCCACCAACCTCCACAGCCCTTCCTACCTTAAACCACTTCCGGCTCACAATCGGTCGATTTTATTTGACCGAAAAAAAATTGCATAAATATCGACTATACTGACGCGACGCCTGCAGATGCTGTGCTATATTAGGTATTATTATTATTATTTTACGAGTGAAATTGATTTTCTTTCAGAATGTACATCTGATACTGCAGTACGTAGAAACTGCATCTCGATGTGATCACCTGTGTTTGACGATGTTATAGTTTTAATGGCTTTTACATAGTCAGTATATGTAATGCATTACGAAATG